TGTGTATGCGAGGCGCAACTCTGCGCCGAAGTTTAGACCGGGTTTGTTTTGGTCTAATGAAAAATCTATTTTAGTTTCTCAAAATAGCGACGCGCCAGCAGTGGGCCTCAGAACGCCTTCCTTTTTAGACCAGAACGCCTATGGGCGCACAAATGAGCGCTAATGCATTTGCTATTTAAACAGCGTAGCGCAACCCCTCAAAACGACTCTTGCGCCAAGCTGAAACTACCAAAAGACTACTGCGCCATGCCTTGCGCCACACTGCGCCGGGTGTATGATAGGGCCCAAGGTAGGCCTACTGGGCAAAAAGGGGATGTTCATTAATTTTCACCATACTAAAGGTCTTGGTCTCTCTTGTTTATCATAGTATTCACGTGGGATAAAAGAACAGCAAATTAACTTCGTCTTTCGTGAAACGCAGTTGTCGTTTAATGTATAGTAAATCAAACTCATTCAAAGTAGTGTTGCTCCTCTCTATCATTTTTCCTCTAATAGTATGCAGACTGAGGGTTTTTAGGATTACAGCATAAATCACCTGATTTAATTTGTGTATGATACACAATCTCTTCAACATTAATATATTATTAATTTTTGTTACACATTTTAAAACTATCAAGCTGACTGAAGGTTCTGAAAAATAATGTTGATGTAGACCTGTTGAAATGTATACACAAAGTACTTTGATTGCAGCAATGCATTAACCCAGCACAAGCATTCATGGACAAACTATATTTTTGTGTTTAAACAGAGCAGATGTGTTGTAAAATGCTGTTTAGACCTGTGAATGCTGATGAGCTGAGGTCAATGTCACGCTTTGCAAAGCTCCATTCAGAAATGCCAAGGCTTTTCCTGCTAAGGAAGAGTGTTTGCGGTTGGGCTTGACGTGCTCTCGGCTCTACATGTCGTCACGTCCTCGAGTCTCGCTCTGCCAAGTGACAGACGCCCATGACTCATCGCCAGTGATCTCCCACAATCTGCACAAACTCAGATCAAGTCTTATGTAACCAAATAAAAGGAGTATTGAGTCTTTATTCGCTTCGGATAAATACATGTCCACTTACTTACAGACCAGCCATGTGGTTTATTAGACCCTGAGCTTGTGTGAAACATCCATTTTAACTTGTGTCTTAAAATTAGTGGTTGGCTGATATAGGTTTTTTGAAGGCCAATGTCGATATCATGGAAATCAGTTTGACCGATATTTATATATATATATATATATATATATATATATATATATATATATATATATATATATATATATATATATATATATATATATATATATATATATAGTTTTTTAATATTATATTTTTATTTTGAACTTAAGCAACGCATAGCAATACAAAAAGCAACATTTAAAAAAAACCCTCGTCACATCAGTTCCTTTAGTTTTATGCATAGATTGAAAATGCTACATATATTTCTAGGCCAGTGGGCACAGGCAGTATGGCCATCTTGCAAACAATGACAGGTTCGTACCTTTAATATATTATGCTTGACATTTGACAGATAATAAATAAGGGTTTCCAGGTAACTTCGAAGCAGCAAATACTAAAGCGATATCATTTTATTTATAACAAATTAAACATTAATAAAACACAGTTAAACTGAAAATAATTAAAAAATGATTTTAAAAAGACATTTGTAAAATAAACATGTACACGAAAACAAATGTATCGGCTGATACTGATATATACCGGTCTTGGCAATTATATTTATGCAGATATCATGGAAATCAGGGTGACCGATATTTAGGCAATATGATTTTATTTAATTAAATTAAAATTGAATTTAATTGAAAGTCATTTGAAAAATATATATTTTTAAAAAGACATCTGTTAAATAAACATATACCCTATGGCAGATGCTGATATGGATCAGTCTTGGCGATCATATCGATGCCGATATCATGGAAGTCAGGGTGATCGATATTTAACTGATATGATTTTATTTAGTCAAATTAAAATTTCTTAAAAAATTTGAAAAATGATTTGTGAATAATAATTATATACACCAAAACAACAGTAACACATATTTTTTTTTTGGTATTGTGCATCCGTTATGGTTGGAAAAACGTTGATTTTTATTGGTGGAAACTGAGAAGTGAGAAACTGTTTTGAATGTCTGTTAAGGAGGCCACAACACTCAACATAATATTGGATTATAATATTGTCAATAAGCATATGCACTGTTAAAAATGCTGGGTTCCACACAATCGAGTTGTGTTGGGACAACATGCAGGAATTAAAGTAAGATATTAGTTTTTACAAATTTAAGTGAATTGAACATTTTACAATTGAACAAGTAAGTTTTCCCCACACAAAGCTCAAGAATTGTGTTGATTCAGCTCAATTTAAATAATTAGTTTGAACAAACAACAAATGCCATTTTTTGAGTGTGTAAATTGCATAGTTTTTTGCATTTAAATAAATACATACATTAATAAATAATTACTTTTTTTTTTTTTGCAAAAGTACAGCTTTAGTAGTATTTGTACTTTATTTTATTTAGTTGTTCTTGTAGCTTGTAGAAAGTTTTTTTTCCCTTTATTTTAATTGGTCCTGTTTGATTTACTGAACTTATCATATACCAAAAAATACCAAAACTGTAACCCTAAAATCGTTATACGCACCGAACCGTGAGCAATCTGTTCCACCCCAATTGTTTATATCTTCTCAAAGCAAAATTTGTCACTATTTTAGAGACGCCAGCTTTCAGACTAGCAGATTGATACTAACAGGGGGACTTTAATGTGATTTAACTGACCAGAATTACCAAAATCCACTCAACATCCAAGCGTCGACTGTGTGCAGCACTGATATTAGCCATGGCGAGCTGTAATGGATGTGACTGCTGCTGAGCTGAATCACTGTGGAAGTGGAAATGCAGTTAAAGGGAAATGTTAGACGAAATGGCTGCATTTACAGTGCTCAGTGTGAGAGAGATTATCATCCTCTTTAAACTGTCTTTTTAGTCGAGGAGCTGTTGAGGTAATTGCATATGTGGGTTTCATCTGGGGAAAAAAGTGGAATGCTGCTTTTATGCTACACAACAAGAAGTCGATAAACACATTCAGACACTGGTCTTGAATGATATTGGCATTTTTTCACAATTGTGCATCTGTGTTATTAGTGGTAGAGGTTTGGTGTGTACTATCTATGTAAAATGCTGTTTGCATCTTGTTTCAGCTGGGTTTTAGGAAAAGTACATGGCATGCACTAGTGTTCAAACAATTGGGCTGTAGGGTAAAACAATACGAAACAATACAAAACAGTAACACTAATTAAAACAAAACAAATATTTAAACAATTATCAAAAAAAAAAAAAAAAGTGTAACAATTACCAAAACAAAACGTAAAATAAAATAAATGATGAAAACGTAACATCAAACAAAATTATGTAAAATTAAGGTTGACATAAAATTAAGTTGAATAATTATTAAAACAAAACATAAAATTTGAACAAATACCAAATCAAAACAAAATAAAATGCAACAATTATTAAAACAAAACAGAAAATAAAATACAATAAAATTGAACAACTAACAAAACTAAACCAAATAAAATTTAACAATGATCAAAACAAAATAAAATTTGACAATTATTAAAACAAAACATAAAATAAAATAAATGATCAAAACGTAACATCAAATAAAATTGAACAATTATCAAAAGAAACATAAAATTGAACAAATATCAAAACTTAAAATAAAATAAAATGTAAACAATTATCAAATCAAAACAAAATAAAAAATCACAATTATTAAAACAAAACATAAAATAAAATACAATAAAATTTAACAACTAACAAAACTAAACAAAATAAAATTTAACAGTTATTAAAGCAAAACAAAATAAAATTGAACAATTATAAAAACAAAAAAGTAACACTTGTTAAAACAAAACAAATATTTGAATAATTATTAAAACATAAAATAAAATTGAACATCCACCGTGTCACCATCTGTAAAGGATCAATTAAATAAAATGAAATGAAGTAAAAAAAATTACTTTTTGAGTTGGGATATCACAATTTTGAATTCACATCTTGCAATTCTGACTTGATTTGAGTATATACAGTAGTCCACATTTGAAGTGGATCAGTTTTTGGTTTTAGAATTGTCCTAAGACAAGAATGAGTTTTGTTCAATAGTTTACGAAAGTACTTTGTTGAAGATTTTTTATCTATTTCTAATGTTGACGACTGCATTTCCCAATTCTGATGAATGCAAGTTATAAACTCACATTTCCAATCTTGTCGTTTAGTCAAATATGTGATTTACAGTTCAAAAGGCTGCTAAATATGACATCTTGATTTATTTTGGATATCTATCAGAAATGTTTTAATATTGTATTAAATATATAAGAATATTATATATAAGAAAAAATTATGTATATTAAGTAATTTTATATGGCATCAAAAAAGCATTATGGTGGCTCAGTGGTTAGCACTGTTGCCTCACAGCAAAAAGGTCGCCGGTTTAAGTCCCGGCTTGGTACAGTTGCCATTTCTCTGTGGAGTTTGCATGTTCTCCCTGTGTTGGTGTGGGTTTTCTCCGGGTGCTCTAGTTTCTCTCACACTCCAAAGACATGTGCTATAGGTGAATTGGGTAAACAAAATTGGCCGTGGTGTATGAGTGTGTGAATGCGAGAGTGTATGGGTGTTTCCCATCACTGGGTTGTGACTGGAAGGTCTTCCGCTGCATAAAACATATGTTGGAATAGTTGGCAGTTCATTCCGCTGTGGCAACCCCTGATAAATAAGGAGGTAAGCCAAAGCGAAATGAATGAATGAATGAATGGCATCAAAGCAGCTTTATTATGTATATTTAATAATTGGTTTTATATGGCATCAAAAAATTGTTTACAGTGACTAAGACTGTTATTACATTGTAGAAAATTGGTTTCCATTTCTATGTTATTAAATTGGAGGTTTAAGACTGAATCAGTGAATCCACTAAAGTAATGTGTGTGTGTGTGTGTGTGTTTTCTCTTCAGCATCAGCAAGATCTGTTGGCTTTGAAGCATCAGCAGGAGCTCCTGGAACACCAGCGCAAGTTGGAGCGTCATCGACAGGAGCAGGAGATGGAGAAACAGCAGCGAGAACAGAAGCTCCAGTTACTCAAAAACAAAGAGCGCGGACAAGAGAGTGAGTGGCCACAACAACAACTCATTACCTGACTGAAATACAAAACCTCTTCCACTTATTAGGATAACTAGCATTTGTGCATGGCTGTTTATCTCAACATTTTACTCACTTTCAAACCGTTTCTTTTTTATTCAGCCTGAAACTCATCATTTATTTATGTACAGTTTTCTGCAAAATATCACATGAGCGGAAATACAGCAACATTAGATTGTGATGGGTGTTTTCACATGTAATTTTAGTACATATTGGATTTTCATTCTCACAATTGATCATTTATGTCTTACTGTTTGTTCTTAGATTAGAGGTAAAAGAAGTTGTGTTCTTCCTAATATCCTTAGTTTGAATAGTTTTACTTAAATAGACACTTAAATGATCACCAAGGGCCTTATCATACACCCAGCGCAATAAGGTGCAAGATGTGTTTGGCGCGATTTGTTGCTATTTTGAGACAAGCGCAACCCTAATTTTCACATTGTACACCTCGTTGTAAGAAAAGCTAATCCATTTGCACCACTTTGTGGACTCATGGGTGTGCTGGTCTTAAATAGAGGTGTATTAATGTGTAATGTTGGCATGTTGTAAAAAAAGGTGCACAACCAACAGTATTAGAGGGTTTTGCTAAAATTACTAAGTGTGAAAGCGAAAGACTCAAGCAGTGTACTGACGCTGTGACGTTACCTGTGGAATCAAAAGACCGAAGAGTCGTTACGAGATTAATTAAATATTACGTTTAACAACTATAGTGAGACTCGATCCAGTGGTACATCCTTGATAAACTGTCCGACGTGCACTACTCTCTGGGGTTTTGTGACAGGCGCAAATGCGGCAGTGCATGCCAGAGTGCATGTGTGGTCACGTGATGTGCGTTTTCAGCGGTATCTTTTCAGAAATGCAAGATGAAGTGCTAGTGTGGACGCTAAAAAACGTTTTAAACTAAGACATATTAGTGGTAACGGCCAAAGTGTGTATGTTTTGCAAGTGGGTTTGCTGTGACAGGGGCAGGGCAGAGGATGGCGATGCCGGCTCAGCATCATGATGTCTATCGACCATCAGTGATCGACCCACCGCTATATACAACTAGGGTCTGCTTGTTTTCACATGGTATTTAAAATATGTGGCTTAGAAATAACTTATTAAAATTCGTTTTTTGATAGGACGAGTATTTATTTATTTATTTTGCTGCTGGGCTATTAAAAACAAATTAGCATTTAGCCTTATTTAAGTCTGATATTTTATTCTTCATGGTCCTAAAAAGTCTTCAGTTTGACTTAGTGAAACCCGCAGAAACCCTGATGTCTAGCAATAGCTAGATCTCTCATGCTACATATCCTCATGTTGAGTGTTCCTGTCAGCCTAGCTGGTCTATTTTTATCTGCCTGTGTTGTCGCTGACACGCAGTCACCTGTTGCCTTCGAGGAGCGCGTGTTGTCTGCCGCCGCCGCAGATGTGTTCGTACACCAGCGACGGCCTCTGGGGACGTGTTTACAGACGATGAGAAAGGTGGTAATTGAAGGAAAAGCTGTGCGAATTCATCCATCTGATGTGTTTCTTTCAAAGAGGGAACAATAGTGAGGGTAAAAAAAAAGACATCTTTGTTTAAACACGGCGGTCTCAGTGGAACTGGAATAAAGAGTTCGCTCTTTTTAAGACCGGATAAAGGGGCCGTTTCTCTCAGATGTAAAGAGATATCTGAACCTGCGCTGGAAGAGCTGTTTATCGACACCAGAAAAACAAGCGTCGGCCTTTGTAGTCGTGATCAATTGGCCACCGTTCGATCTCCTCCGTCTCAGACTATTAAGAGTTTTTTAAGACCATTTAGAAGACGAAATTACAGCGCCGCAAATTACAGGGTTTAGAAATGGCGGAGGAATTGACAGTCACAAATGCACAGGAGGCTTTTAGAGAAAGCGAGCGGTATAACGCTGAGAGAATGCCATTAATGTCCTGCTGCTTGCTGTTTGTGATCTTCCTGAACTGTGCGCTCTTGATCGACAGGCGCCGTGGCGAGCACTGAGGTCAAGATGAGGTTGCAGGAGTTCGTCCTCAATAAGAAGAAAGCGCTGGCCCAGAGGAGTCTCAACCACTGCCTGCCCAGCGACCCACGCTACTGGTACGGGTGAGTATCAGCCTGCTTAAAAAAAATGTTACAGCTTTTTACTGGTCCTCTAAGGTCTGGGCATGTTCCGGTATAAGTTTCTGACAGTGTGATAGCCTTGGATGCAACACAGTATTGTGATTACTGCTCTTAAATATATTATTTTTAAATGTCTGGTTAAAAAACAGCCCTATTACCCATTGAACACAATAATTTTAAGAAACATTTCAAATATTTTGGAGCAGTAAACATGTCAGACTAAGTAATTAAAATAAATTATTGACTTCTGCTATATTCATTAGTTTTAAAAACACTGATTTCTTGTAGAGGCATCATTGGATATCTGTCTCTTCTTTGGTTATAAAGTAAGCCACAGCACTGTTCAGATCTATAGCATGATTGGATGTTGGTGCAAAAGCGATTTGTTCTTTAAATGTGTCCTGAATCATAGGCTGACCAGTAGCTTTTGATGTGGAGGCTCTTTTTTTGTACATATACCGTAGGAATGGTATAACAGAAATATTTAGTGATTTTAAAACCTTGACATCAGCTCAGAAAACATGATGCAGGGTTCCCACAGGTCATGGGATTTCTGAAAAATTCACTGAATTTTAAAAAGGTCTATTTCAGGCACTGAAAGTCAGAGAATTTTTTTGTCATAAAGTCATGGATTATCAAGGACTTTTGTTTGTTGCTTTGAATTTTAATTTATATGTATCAAAATATCTGTTTTCTATACCTTATTTTCACTTAATGGGATAGTTCACCTATAAATCCTGTCTGTTTAAAAGGTCTTTTTCAGACAGTGAAAGTCAGGGATTTTTTATTTATTTTTTTATTAAAAAAAACGAAGTATTTTTTGTCATAAAGTTATGAAATATAAAATATTTTTTTTCTTTTCAATTAAATTTCCATGTATCAAAATGTAATTTTTATATACCTTATTTTAACAGAATGGGATAGTTTACCCAAAAATCTAAATGCTGTTATTTTTAAAATTACAGATATTAAAAGACAGGGATTTTTTTTTTGTCATAAAGTCATGGAATATAAAGGATTTTTGTTTGTCTCTTTGAATTTTAAATTTCCATGTATCAAAATGTCATTTTTCCATACCTTGTTTTCACTTAATGGGTTAGTTCACCCAGACATCTGACTTCTGCTATTTGAAAACGTCTATTTCAGTCAAAGCCTCTTCTTTTAGTTTCTGATTATATATTTAAGAAGTAGTTTAAATTGATATGAGAATACTACAATTTAATAATAGGCACAATAATTATTATTATCCTGTCCCAATCATTGCTTAACCAAAAAATGAACAGCAAAAAAAAACTGCCGAAAGCAGATTGGGTAACTTTGGGGACTTTACTGGGAATTATTCTTCTCAATATAGTTCTTTTTTATTTTTGTAAAACTACAACAAAGAGGGGGAACGTATGTGCGTGTGTGTGTGTGTTTTTATATTAATATATATACATATATACACACACACACACACAGTTGCAGTCAGAATTATTAGCCCCGCTGAATTATTAGCCCAACATATATATTGAGTGTAGTGATTGACAGGAGAGTAGGGATTGTTTCACTGAGATGCATCATGTTTCTGGCTACCATGTGGTCAGGAGCGCCTGAATGTGGTTTGACTGACCGAATACTAAAGTGCTTTGAGCTTTTTTACACCTGCATTTAGCTCTGACCAAAGATCCACATGCTGCATGAAGCTGATGCCAAACTTTCCTCAATGTCCCTGTTGTAGTGTCATTTTCTGCTCATTGCAGTATGCCGGTGTAAAAGCGTGTTATGCAAGTTTCTGCTTTAATTGATTGACAGTTTGCTTAGCCCTTTATCGCACAAAGGATCTAAAATTGTTTTTTTTATACATATTTGAAGATGGATTCTGATGGAAACTGTGTGTGAGGGTGTGGATGTGTTTATGTTAGAAACCCACACTCCATCAAACCCTTTCACACATCTGGAAAGCTCAGAAGACAGGAAGAGAATGCGCCTTTAAACAGAAATATTACAGGCTTCTGCATATACATACTTGTCTTATTGGGCTAGACTAAATGTGCTGACATTTTTTGCCATTTCTGTAGAGAGTTTAGAAAAAATCTGTGGATGAATATGTGGAATGATTTTAGGAGTATTCAATTCACCTTTATTTGTATAGCGCTTTTAAAATGTAGATTGTGTCAAAGCAGCTTCACATAAAAGATCATAGTAAACTGAAACAGTGTAGTTCAGTGTTTACTGTTTAGGTTCAGTTCAGCTCGGTTCAGTGGGGTTTATTAATCACTATTGAGGGCCTAAACACTGAACAGCAAATCCATCGATGCGTAGCTCTACCAATCCCAAACCATGCAAGCTAGTGGCGACAGCGGAGAGGCAAAAAAAAACTTTACCAATTGGCGAGAGTGAAGAAAAAAAAATTGAGAGAAATCAGACTCAGTTGGGCACGACCATTTTAATTTCTCCGCTTGCCAAACGTCTTGTGCAGAGCTGCAGTCTCAGCGACGGAGGCTGGAAGCTGGGCCTCAGCGAAGACTCGTCTGTCCCTGGAGCGTCACAGGAATCAGTCTCATGCTCTCCACACCTTCATGACCACCACAGCAGCTGCTAAGGATACGGCCTGGTCCAGGATCATAGCTAAAAACTTAATACATGTTAACTCTGCAAATTTTATAAACTTACATATAGCAAATCTACTGAAAAAGTTATTTGTAAATACACTTTACATTGTGTACTGTTTACACTCTCTGCACATATCATAGTGCAGAGAAAATATCAACGCTTGAGGAAAGAAGGATACAGAAGAGCTTACATACTATAGTTGAATTTACACACGAAACGTGGTGTACAGGGGACATAACCAGGGTACAACTGTGCAAAAAGCTGTATTTATGAAGAGTGTAAGATAATAAAGGGTGTGAGGTTTATAAAAGCCTATAGGCCTATGTTTATCATTATACGCTATATACGTTATAGGATACACTTTGTACAGCAATGGAACTAAGTGGCCTGTAAGGACATATTTCAAATAAATCATGATAAGAATAAAAAACTTACTCGACACAAATTCTATCCTCCACATCTTCATAATGTATGTGCTCGTCATCAGAGTCGTGCTTTTCCTCTGAGGAGAATGTAAACTCTTTGTCGCTGTCCAAAACCATCCGAAGTGCTTCTTCGCTCGTGTAGCGTGCCATCATTCCAACAAGCAAAAACCATAAGTAACTCTGTAATAAAGCTTGTCGTTTTAAGACATGTCTCGGGGGGCTGTATATTATTACTTGGCTTTATTTACATATGAATAGCGTGCTCACTGAGAGGCGGGACCATGTTAACTGTAATGACGCGATATTGGAGAATCCGTACTATTGGAGAGTCCTTACTTTTATACGAATTACATAAAAATAGATTATTTGTTTTCGACTTGAATTGGTTATTGCACAAGTAGGCATGTCAAGCTTTCTATAGATATATCACTCACGGCCCTTTGTTAAACATTTGCTGAGTTTCTTTTCACTCTAGTGGCAGGTTTTTCTGACCACAGTCTGCATATGGCACGCGGCGCTTGTAATAACAGTGCCTCATGTGCGTGGTCGCATAAAACAAATGAGATCAGACTGAGAAACTAGACATAGCGTTGGTTTCATACTGATAACTTTATCAAGCAGTGTTTCTTTTCAACATGCATAGCTGCATTTAAAAGTAATCACTTCAAGCTTTCTATAGATACATGTCTCATGTCTGTGTGTTTTGTTTTTACCGATGCGTTTCTAAACGGAGAGAGAAATGAAAGTATGCCTACACTGTTTGTTTTTCTTTTTTTTTTCAAAAGCACACACGTTTGTTATTGTTGTGAGTGTACACAACAAAAAGTAGACACCTAACAGATTCGATTGATGTATTGATCTTATCTGTATGATCAAAACTGAAAGTGTAATTCAAGTTCCTTTCAGCCTTTTGACGACACTACAGGTCAAAACACGTATATGCCGTCTTCGACTGTGAATTTGGATACATCCTTAATGCTTTTGCACCTTACGCTTTAGACTTTGCGCCTAGACCGTTAAAATAAAGCCCTATGTATCTACATCAGTTGAGTCGCTTCACTGCCATTTATAAATTCACTTCTGTGGTTGGACTCTTACCTCACCGGCAGATCTTTCAGGGTTGCCTGGAGGAAGAGGTGTCCAAAACACTATCAGCTTGAAACCTTGGTCCCCTGCTATTCTCAATTTACACCACATCACTAGGACGCAAAATATACATTTCTGGCATTTCGGCTTGAGGGATTCTTTATGCTTTGTTGTTTCTGTAAGAACAGTCTTTAAAGGCTCCTCCCTCTTGTTGAAAGCAACGGCTCATTCGCATTTAAAGGGACACACTTATCCAAATAGGTGTTTTACCAGCTATAATAAATGATCTGTTAGGTATTTCGCACTGAAACTTCAGAGGACATCTGAAATTTATTTCAACTCTTATAAATAAAAACGTAAGTGGACTAGAGTAAACGTATCCTGAGCTGGCAGAAGGTGCTCTCAATGCTGGGAATGGAGAGCAGCTGTGTGTGGAAATGTCTTGAAATGCACATATTTGAGTCCTTCTGCTTGCCCTCATGTGTGTGTGTGTGTTTTTTTTTTGTGATTTGTTCCACAGGAAAACCCAGCACAGCTCTCTGGACCAGAGCTCACCACCTCAGACAGGGATTTCCACTTACAACCACCCGGTGCTGGGAATGTACGACCCCAAAGATGACTTCCCGCTCCGCAAGACGGGTAAAACTGAAGCCCTTCTTTCCAAACGTGTCCATGATTTTCACTTCGCTTGCTTTAGAGCAGTTCAGGTTTACTTATTCAGAGTGGCTTCCAGGCGACATGGAACAAACTCTGCGACCTTTGCTTCCATTGACGCTTGTGGAAAAGCCTTTTTTTTTTCCTCGTGCTGATGCAGAAGCCGGTTTCTCACACTCGCATACAACTGTAAAAGATTGTAGATCAACTTGCGGCTGGAAAATATGCAGAAACGGTTGACTGACTTGAACTTGAAATTGTTTCATTTTCTTTCATTAAGTTTGGTTTTGAGTCATCTTGGATATTTTTTTCATTTTAATTAGTAAATTTTGTATTACTTTGTTTGTTTGTTTGTTTACATTTGTTTCAACATAAGTCATTATTTTTGTTTCTTTTTTAAATTTAATTAATTTGACAGCTTAAATCCCTAAACTTTTTAAACATTTTAGTATATTATGGATTTTTTCCTCTAGCATCTTTTTCAGTTTGTTTTAGTTGTTAATTCTGATTAATTCTTTAGATCTGAAAAAGTTATATATTACTATGTATGTGCTTCTCATAAACACACACACAGACACTCACATATAATGATATCAGGGTTTATTTAAACCATAAAGTAAAAGTAAACCTAATAATCCAAACTTTAAACTTAAATAAATAAATAAATAAAATAAAAATAAATAAATAAATACATTTTACTTTGGCAAAAGTGAAAGTTGGCAAAATTTTATTTTTTATGTAATTTTATGTAGTTTATTTTTTTCTGGGATTTTTTTAGTGACTAAAATTTGTCATTTTTTGTCATTAATTCTGGTTATTTAGTTATGAATTCTTTCTGAAAGAGTTATATATTACAAGCAATACTATGCATGTGCTGCTCATTAACTGCTCCCATATAATGATATCAGGATTTATTAAAAACAACGTAAAACAAAACGTAAAAACAAATGTAGTATTTCAAACTTTAAAATTAATTAAATAAACAAACAACCAAATAAATAAATAAATGTCTTTTGATTTAGTTAGCAAAAGTGTTATTTTTCTGCACTTTGCTCATGCAGTTTGTTTATTGTTTATTTTTTCCAGAATTATTTCAGTAACCAAAATCTAAATAAATATATTAGTTATTATTCTGATAAATTTTTAGTTATTAATTATTTCTAAAACAAGCAATACTGTATACAGGTTTGTGCACGCACACACATTATTATCTGCCCAGTTTTTGCCCTTTATTATTATTATATTATTATTATTATTATTATTATTATTATTATTATAATTCTTATTATAATAAATGCGTTTGATTTTCTAATATTAAACATTTGCCATTGTTATTATTATTATTATTATTATTATTATTATTATTATTATTATAAATAAAAATAAATGAATTTGATTTATAATAATAAACATTTACTTATTATTATTATTTTAAAAATTAATTTGATTTATAATAATAAACATTTGCAAACATTTACATTTCCCTTTTAGCCAAAGACATCTGCGGTTGGCATTAAAAGCAGTGTGGTGTACGGTAAAAGTCAAGTTTTCTTTTTTTATACTTTCGAATTCGGCCTCCTACTACACAACACGGCATGCTTGCTATTGCAACCAGTCTCTTTTTGCAACCGGGAACCCGTGTGACATCTTGTGCGACAAAGGTTTGCAATTCATCTATACGTTTCTTGATAGCATTGAAGACTTTTTTTTTTTCCCTCTCCCTCACACCTTGCAGACCATACTGGAAAGTTTTCTCCTCTTGATGAGAGAAAGATGTCCAGATAGAGAGTTTGAGCAGGTTGGCATCTGCAGCGTGTTAAGGCTGGCATCGGTCCTGTGTTCACTCTGAAGTGTGTGTTCAAGAACTCGCACTCAAGGGCAGTTCCTATGCGCACTCACTTTGGGCTGCTTTAGGTGGCGTTTGGCCTCTGTGCTCATTAATCAGACTGGAAATGGGCCTGTCAGGAGGCGCGGTACAGCCTGCCCTGGGCCTTCAGCACACACTGAGCCCCGGTGAGACCTGCGTAATTACAGAGCAGCAGGAGGAGGAGAAGAGGAGAGTGTTAGAGGCAGAGCTGCTACAGTCCCACTGTATACAGTACAGCAGCCTCATCTTGACCTCCAGATTCACATTCACTGCATGCAGGCTTCACTTTTTTTTCTATGGTGTAGGAATTTGGAGAGCGAATTTGGTCAACGTCATACTTTTTATCACTTTAAAAAAAATTACTTTTGTATAGTTTAATTATTTGCCTTTTTTAATGTATAAATAAAATAACGTGTTATAATTTTGTCACTTTTCTACAGTTTGATTTATTAGATTTGTAATATTATTTTATGCAGTGAAATGATATCAGGTAAATTAACAACATAAAACTACAGCTATTTTTTGTTTCTTCGAATCAAACAAACATTAAAAAAACTTTAAAATAATTTAAAACATTAAAACAATGCAAATGCAACTTTACAATTAATTAAACAATTATTATTAAACAACAATTTTTTTTGTTTGATTTAGTTTGTTACAAAAGTTTTAATTTATATATTTTTATGTAGTTTATCAAATTGTTTTTTTTTTTTTGTTTTTTATAAATAAAACAGTATATAAAAATGCCATTGAAACATTTAAGAAATTTTATTTTATTTATTTATTTTTTTTAATTTTTGGAATTTTTGTTATTTGAAACCGAACAAACATTTGGTAAAAAAGAAAAATACATAAAAATAAATAACTAATAATAATAGTAATAATAATAATAATAATAAATAAAATAAAATATTTAAATGGGATTATTTTGTTTCATTTTATTTTGTAGTTTAATTATTTCTTTCTTTATTTATTTATTTATTCATTCATTTATTTATTCATTTATTCATTTTTGTAATTTGTTAGTGCACTTTAATGATTTCAGGTTTAATTAAACCGTTGAACTACAGCTATTTCTGTTACTTGAAATCAAACATTTAAACTTTTTGTTTTTTTTTGCAGTGTAAATTAGTGCATCTTAATCTTTTAAAGTTAATTTTAAGAATAAATAAAATTAGCGTTTATTTAGTTAGCAAAAGTTTTATTTTCACACACTTTTAAGTAGTTTGTTTACTTGTTCAATTCTTATAAACTAGCATGCAATTTTATTATTGATATGGTTAGTTAAACAGTCGAGTAAATAAAAATGTCATTTAAGACATTCAAACAAATATTTTAGTACATAATTACTATGTCATGATGATATTACCATATTTTACACATGGCAAGAAACAATAGTGATAAATCGGGTAAAATAATATAACATAACTGCCATTTCAAGCAGCCAAATTTATTTGCCCAACTTAATTCCTACTAAAGTGATTTAGTCAAAAGCTAAATTATTTATTATTTTTATTATTAAGAAACAGTCAGGATCTGATGAACGTCAAGCTGTGAAATGTTCTTTGTTAGTTTGTGATTATAGAGTTTTGCGGTAAGGCTGGTTCTGCTGGTCGTCCCGCTGCAGATGAAGCTCAGTTTGCTCTGGCTGGCGGTCTGCATTCCTGCATTGGGGATTTGGGAGGGTGAGGGTGGCCCGGGCCTTTACCAGAACTGCCTGACAGGCCAGAGTCTGTTTTCGCACATCTCACCTAAAGCCCAGCACATCTGCAGCTGCAGGAAGTGAGATGTTGTTTTAGGACAGTGAGGTCTGCGAGGGTCCCGCACACAGAATGCTTAAAGACCTGAAAGAAAAAAAAAGACTCTCCTGCATGGGTGTCGTGCATTTTTCTAATAATGTTTTTTGGGTGGCGTGATTTGAAATACTGCTTCAGTTATTTTATTCAGAAAAGTTTGGCATGTTATGATTTATGCAATGTGGAAAATGGGATATACAGTTGAGGTCAGAATTATTAGCAACCTGTATATTTCTCCCCAATTTCTGTTTAACGGAAAGACGATTTATAAAAATAATAGTTTTATTAACTTTTATCTTTACCATGATGACAGCACATAATATTTCACTAGATGTTTACTAATATTTATTCAAGATACTAGTATTCAGCTTAAAGTGACATTTAAAGGCTTAACTAAGTTAATTAGAGAAGTTAGAGTAATTAGGCAATTCATTGTCATAACTGGTTTGTTTTGTAGACCGGGGGTTTTCAAAATGTTCAGCCAGCCAAAATAACAATGCCAGTGACTCGCGACCCCCAAATTCCTTGGAGGTGGTTATAAACATACATATGTTGAACAAACCAAAGAAAGCCTTTATAAACACGAGCATATTGACAACACAAAACAGTGCAAAAGTCTAACAACCGGATCATTTTTATGGTCATTTATTGATTTGTGCAGTTTAATATTACCCTTACTTAATGAGACTGGTATGCACAACGTTTTCAGCACAAGTTGATTTCATTTTGGAGACCACCATTCGGAGATCATCTGCAATGTTCAGCTGTGGCTTGTATTTAATGTTTTTGATTGCCATAGAGGTGTCAGAAAGTTCAACCTGGTGCTATAAAATCAATTTGCTGCGACTAACGCTATTGCTGTGCTTTTATATTATATTTTATGCAACAGTTCTGTCTGGTTCTCGAATGTGATTGGCTGATAGCCGTGATATATTTAAGTTATATCAGCACCCGTACAGCCTCTTTACCCTTTGTGTATTACTCCGCCCATATACAGCCAGCAAAAAGCAGACACTACAGATCAGGTTCATTAGTTAATGCATTTACTAACATGAACTAATCATGAACAACACATGTACAGCATTTATTAATCATAATTGAACATTTACTAATGCATTATTAACACCCAAGTCCGTGCTTGTTAACATTAGTTAATGCACCATGAGTTAACATGAACTCACAATGAACTACTGTATTTTCATTAACTAACATTAACTAACATGAACAAATACAGTAGTAAATGTATTGTTCATTGTTTGTTCCCATTAGTAAATGAATTAATTAACATTAACTAATGAACCTTATTGTAAAGTGTGACAGAT